ATCTTTCGATCCCGTTTGAATTGTGCCACGAATTACACATATGATGTTTGTCAATTTAAAAGATGATTTTGCAAGTCAAAAAAAAAAAAATGTGTCGTAAAACTGTGAAGTAACACTTTTTTTGGTGAAACCGCTCAATGAACTACATCTCCCGTCTCGCACCACACACCAAGACGGCCGTCACGTTGGCACATTTCACTTATTTCTTTCAGAATGAGGCGAAAAGTATTAAAAGAGGTGAAAATCACTACAAGTCTGGGCATGTTGAGAGCTGTACATACACACAAGGGGAGTTAGTCGGTTCGTAAGAGCCAACATGCGGGACCGGGATCCTGGGATTTGTAGTCTTTCTAGTTGCGTATTTTTCATAGTCTTATATTTCAACAGTTTTACGACAAACTGTGACTTTTTTGACATGGAAATTATTTGTTAAGATTGACAAACATCATATGTGTAATTTGTTGTACAATTCAAACGGGATCGAGAGATACGTTTTCTCTCTCCATTGACTTCAATACATACTTTTTCCGAAATAAGGTCCCATGGAGGTCCCCGGAAGGGGAGGGACTTCGCCTCTCTATTGCTGGAAATGCCTGATATTGTCAACTAATGGACTTGGTGTTTGGAGCCTTATAAGTTTGCAAACTTGAGTCTAACCAAGGCAGCGGCGAGACACAAAAGCACTGCTGGAAACTTACAAGCAGCGGTGCCTTTGGAAACTTTTGGGGGAGCCTCAATGGCGTTAGCACAGGACATATTATTGGAACTGAAAACTCAAATAGTACAAATAATCAAACGTATTGGTGAGTAAAGGCTCTAATGACTTTTCTTTACATGTTTTTATATGTTCTTGTCATTTTATTAAGTAAATATTGGAGCTTCTGCTGGAGTTGATGTGTGTGGTGTGGCTGCAGTGAAAGGAGACTTGTTACATTGTGTTATTTGGGTTTCTTGCTTTGTAATGGCGGTCATTTTCGCTACATTAGATACCTGTCGGCTGTCAGTGATGCAAAGCCCTGTTATACTGCGTGTCTGTACAATATTAATGGTTTCTATAGCCGTGATCATAATGATGGTCTTAAGAGGTGGATTAATTCAGGTGGGACACTACTGAAGGCCTAGGTGTGAAAAGCACTGCCCGCTACTGAGTTTAAAAAAATATAAAACTCGAAAAGATCAGGAAAATATTTAAAGGGCCAATGTCATGGCCATTTCCACTGATCATAATTACATTGTTGAGGTATACTAAAATAGATTTATACTGTGCAATTTTCCAAACTCACATTGGTTTCGCATACAGCATCTCTGTCAAGCATGTGTATTCAGCAGTATTCACTTTCTCCACTAAACGACTCGTTGGAGCTCTTGCCCCCCCCTCCCTGTGAGCCTAGTGTGCTCCGATTGGTCAGCTCGGCCACTCGTTCTGATTAGTCAACCACCAGAGAGGCTGCGCCCATGTCTAACAGTGCTTTTCCCGGCTGCTCTCAGCGTAACATCAGTCTTATCATGGCGTCGGCACAGCCGTATATTTTATATACATATATATTTGTAACTGTTGTTATAGAAGAGTGTGACGGCCCCAGGGCCTTTGTCTTACGATGGGGTGGAGCTGAAGAGGCTAATCAGCACGATCACGGACACCTCCGGACACTACGACCCCAGTCTCTCTCCAAAGCGGCTGCAGGAAGACTAACTCTGCGATCCTCTCAACCACCTATCTTTGCATTTACCACAATAAATGTGCCGTGGTTTTGTAAACTCGTGTATGTCTCCTTGTCTTTCCGTTGTGGCCTACGAGCTACTCTCATAACAAAGAGTAAGTTATTTTTACCCGTTATAAACTACTACTGTTTGATGAGAAATCAAATCATGGTTTGCTATATATGAATTCAGGGAAGAAAGGATAGGCCTACTAAGTATTTCCATTAAACTTTATTTTTAGAAATGTACAAAATGAACATAAATATACATATATACACGGTATATCATCCATTCCTCCTCCTCTTGCCTGCGCACAGCCGGTGCGGTGCGGTGCCTTTTAGCACGACGCCTCAGTAGTAGTAGAAGTCCCGTCCCCGTCATGGATTGTCCGCCAGGATCTGGCTGGACGAAATCAAATGCAAATCACAAAATATTAGAGAAACTTAGTTGTTTTAGATTCGTTAGTAGTAGTTGTGTAATGAACAGCTTGCCTGCTAATATGCTAACCTAGCTTTGTTTACCTTGGTAGCTAACACGATATGAACGTTAGCTTGGAGGAAAGGCAACTATAATGCAGTGTAATAAAACTACTATGAACAAAAGCTAGTGGTTCATATTAGGCTAGCAATAACGTGTTTATAATTGCAATCGTATACGGGTATTCTGCTACCATACAATGTAACTTGCATGAATACATTGTTTTGCGCTAGCATACAGCTAGCCTCGTTAGCTACATGCAGTATATGTACGGTCACAATGTACGGTAAACCGGAGTATACTGTATGAGTATTCCGTGTGTGTGACTGCAGACATTCTCCTGCCATGACAAACATGTAAGGCCATCTGCTGACATTGTAGTTGATATATTTAAACGCTAGCAACGTAGCATCACAAAAATGTTTTTCTGACCAAAACTAGCTCAAGCTCCGTGTGTTAGATCGCTACGCCAGCTATAATGTAATTACGTTTCGCGACTGACCGGCAAATCACCCGCAGTATACTGTCAATAGGTATTTTGTGTGTGAATGCAGACATTCTCCTGCTATGAGATACATGTATGCAAGGCCATCTGCTGATATTAGAGTTGATATATGGAAACTCTAGCAACTTAGTTAGCACAGTTAGCACTGTGTCAATGGCTTAGCAGTCCAACACAGTTTACACATTTAAACAGTCTTGTTTGATAAATACACAAATAACAATGCAAACTTACAGGTTGTATACCCAGATCTTCCCCTGCTCCAAACGGTCCAAACAAGCTGTGCATATCCGGCCTCAAACTGGGCAATGTTTTTGGAAGCTTTCGTCTGTGAAATGCCGGTTCTTCGAACCTCTGGAGGAGGAACACGCCGCTGCTGGTGTGGCCATAGCTCTTCGGGATTGGTCCATTTCGTTCCGGGTACCGCATGACATCAGGCGGTACCCGGAACTAAATGGAAGACTCAAATGGGCAGTGACGTATCTCCAACGAGGCGTTTTGGGGAGGTATTTTCTGTGTTAGAGTTTTACTCGCTACAGGGTGTACTTTGAGGGTTTTGACTCTGCACACCGTTTACATGCATAAAAACCTTCATAACACACAAGGGGACGGGTAATAACCGGAAAAGCATGACATGGGAGCTTTAACAAATAAAAAACGGGATAATATTTCTTTATGTACAAAAGTTTGACAGTAGGTGTAGTACAAGTCCATGTAACATTAGAAGATGTAAAGTATATGTGTCCTATTGAACATGGACATATTGAATCTCTCAATGATACTGTACTGTATTCAGGCATACTTTATTTTTTTCATCTCAGAAACCTTTAAACACATTATTTTAAGCAACTGAGTTAAAACAGGGGTAAATAATACATTTATTGGGGACTATTTTCAGTTGCGGATTAATACACATTTCTGTCCTCTAGAGAGAATTTCTATTTATGTATTTGGGATTGAATCAAATCAAATTAAAGTGTCCATGTTCATATTAATGAATGAAAATATCACTCAATGTTTTGGGATGTGTTGAAATCACACAAATAGAATGCTACAAGTCTTATCCTTTACCAGGGAATTTAAACATTAAACCGTTTATTCTTAAATTATCATCCACGTTTAAAGGGGACCTATCATGCAAAATGTACTTTTTGATGTCTTTTATACATAAATATGTGTCCCCGGTGTGTCGGGGAACTCACGCAGCGTCAGAAAATAAAACCCTCTCTCTTTTCCTCCGTACCCAAATCTCTAAGAACGGGGCTACAACGGAACTGATCCAGATTTGTGTCCGATATGACGTAATATCGGAAATAATCCATGATATGGCGTTTCATCACGGCAGTATTTAGTTTAGACGGTAGCTGCCGGGTCCCGCATGAGCTCCGCCCCCTCCTTTTTTTTAATATAAAGCTTTATACCCAAAATCAGCACTTTTGAAACAGGAAGTCAAATAGAGGGATATGAGGCATGGCTAGAATGGGTGATCTGTTTGGTATTTTGAGCAAAACACTTCATAGACATGTTTTTTATATATTTGTATATATCTGAGACCTATTGCCTAAAAATAGCATGATAGGTGCACTTTAAAGGATATCACATCATATTTTGGCTTCCAAGACATTTTTCCTTGAAGGCATTTTAAAATGTCACAGTAGGAAAATGAATGACGTCTGATTTTCATTTAGCTCCTCCTGTTTTCCTGGTGCTGTGCATGCTGCTCACTTTCACACTGTACCATGGCATGCTGGGAAACTTAAGTAACATCTGTGCTTTCTCTCCTGTGACAAGTCAGAAAGTCTGCTGCCTAAAAAAAGCCAAAGGAAAATCATTTAACTTAAAAAGAGTTATGTTTTCTCATGCCGAAAATGGTTGGTTAAGAAAAGTTATTTTACTCCCAAAAAAAGAAGAAAGACATTGCACAATCCTGATTCCAAGCATGATGTGTCATCACTTGTAATCCAGTTATGGGTGTGGTTCAGATTGGGGTCACCTATATTTCTGGGGCTGCTGTACTGTAAGTGGCTTTGTGTCCCTGCTCAATGCCATTAGAGTAAATGTCATTAAGAGAGGAGCTGAGATAGCAAGTTCGTCTCTCGCTCACTTCGCTTTCTCTGTCTGTTGCTCCTGGTGTTGGTGAATGACGATGTTGCGCACACGCTCAAACATATATGCAAATCCCTCACAGTCAGAAGATGATCTACAGGCCAAAGTAGGGAACATTTGCCAGACAGGTACTAAATGTCCTGATACTAACGTCCTCTTGTCTCTCTCTTTATCCTCCTCCCATCCCTTTTCCCTCTTGAATATCCTCTCCCAGGCTTCCTCAGTACCGGCGATCAGTCTGCTAAGGGGAACTACGGCCTGCTGGACCAGATTCAGGCCCTGCGCTGGCTCAACGAGAACATCGGTCACTTCGGAGGAGACCCAGAGAGGATCACCATCTTCGGCTCCGGAGCTGGGGCGTCCTGCGTCAACCTCCTCATCCTCTCGCACCACTCGGAAGGTAATTAGAGACTCACTGTGTTTGTGTCTCACCATTTGTTTTAATAGAAAAACTACCGTGCAGCATCTTCCCACTGGTCACAAAATGGTGATGTTAATAGTCTCGGTCCAACCCTGAAAATGACTGTTTTTGACAAACGGATTGTGGTTGGTTGCATGAATTCCACCTGATCCATTAATGTTAAAGCTGAGATCATTCCTCGCTAATCCCCGCACATCCACAATGCATATTTACTGGGAAAAGATGGCAATGCACACCTTCATGTCCCATTCGACCTTGAAAACTCTAAACAAAAAATGTGTGATCCTGTATCTGTCGCTGGAATGACTCGCTCTCTATTTAAACATCATTGTTCCTTTATACAGCCTTTGGCTATTTCATGACCCGTGTAAATGTAATCATAGCAGCAAGGTCCTGTCCCATGTGGTCAGATGGAGACTCTGCGAGCAGCATCTAGCGCAGAAATCGTTAAGTCCTGTGATGTTCGCTTGACACCTCTATCCTCGGAGGAAAACACTGCACATCCTTTGAACTGAAGAATTTGAGCAGTCATGTGTCTAATAAGCGAGTCCAGGTTTGATTCAGGTTGTGTCGTACATGTCTGCGGAGGATGAATCCCCAACATTTCCCCACATTACCTGAGTATGCGAGCGCTCCTGGCTCTGTTAACGGTCCACCGCTCTGCAGCAGAGAGGCTCTACCTCGGTCGAAAGAAACCTACATCCGTCTGACCTCGTGCTCCCCATTACCAACAGCACACCCCGAGGGCTAAGTGTTAACATTGCACCACCAAAAGAGAGACGCCTACGGACCGATCCACTTTGATCTGAATTGAGATCAGTGTGGCTGCCGACCCGCAGCCAAACGGTCACGCACTCGACGCCTTTGATCATGCCGTTCTTGAAGCTGCCCTCCTCAAATCGTAACTCGACACTGCTCAAGGACTCTCTCTCAATATCGCTCTCCTCTATTCATTCACAAACCGCGTAGGACAGACACAGGGAAGAAACGGTGGATAGAGAGATTCAAGAGAGCGTGTTCACAAAACCTCACATCTGTTTCGATCCTCTCTGTGTTTGTGTGTATCTAAGTGTGTTTGTTTGTGTCTGAAGCACCAAGCAGACGCCTCTAACTTTGACTCATTCTGTCTGTGTAAATCTGCTGTAATAACAAATGTGTGTTGTCAAAGCTCCAGTGAGCATCTGTGCTGCTGTGTCACTGTGTCCATTTATCCCAGCCTCTATAATTACACTGATGTCTGCCTACCCTTCATATTAACCCAGCACACCCAACCTTTCTCCACTCATCGGCAGGTGACCCAATTAGCCGTGAGCAACCTCCCATAACCCCAATTATTTGATATTGATATCATAACAGGGGCCATGCATAGTGTGTGGAAAGTTTTAACTTATTTCTGTGATGTCTATAATACAATATAAACATACTTATACTGCATTATATTATGCGTTTTACTTTCAAGTTATAAGCACTTGTAAATATCTATATCTCAGGATAGCTAATGGATAAGCCATTATAAAAAGATGATGTTTTATGGGAATTATTATATGCTTTAATTCCTGCAAAAACAAATGTCATGGACTGACTAGCAATTGAAGTCATTCAAATGTTCAATGTTTCATTATAAAGCATTTTGTATATGTATGAGCAACCCAGTCTCACGGCATTTTGTGTTATAGTCACGAAATTAATTTAATCTAGTGATTCGTGTTCACCAACACGATTTTTGCATTTGTTTCGTGTCACACAGAACTATTTTAAAAGCAATGTATTTCTATTGGTAGTATGTTTCGTGCCTGCACCACGTCTTTTTGTCCGGTCGGGTCTTGGAATACCAGAAGCTGTGTGGTTCATAAAACATTTTCTTACTCAATATCTTACCCTAAGCCTAACCCTTTTATTTTAAGTTGTATAATGTCTGAGTTTTTTTGCCGTCCGCGAGGAAAAGAAATGTGACTCAGAGCCTCAGAATACTGACATCTGTATTTTTTGTCATCTTTTTTTCCTTCTAATTTGTTATTATTTGGTGCAGGCACGAAACATACTACCAATAGAAATACATTGCTTCTAAAATCGTTCTGTGTCAGAATATTGAAATCTGTATTTTTTTTTATCTGTTTTTCCTTCTAATTTGTTATTATTTACATTGCTTTTAAAATTGTTCTGTGTGACACGAAAAAAATGGCGAAATCGTGTTGGTGAACACGAATCAATAGATTAATTTCGTGACTATAACACGAAATGCCGTGAGACTGTGTTGGTATGAGTGCTTATAACTTTGTAAACAGTGCTATAAGCAGTAAATAATTTCAAGTGTGTTTCTAATGCATTCGAGAAAATATCACATTCTTTCCTTAAGTTTCTGTGTTTAGGAATCAAAATATGGAAAGAGCAAATATTAAAAAATGAACTCCAGTGTCGAGAATTAGCATTAACATTAGCATGACTGCTAACCATGCCTTTTTGAGGTTATTAGCATCTCTAGAAAGCAACATTTAAACCACCTTGTATATGATATTTTGTAACTCGAAATGACATATGAAGTCAAATCATATCTCAGAAGCATACTATATTATGCCACTCTTGTCTTTGCATAAGGTATGAAGCCTGAGTCAGGATGGTTAGTCTACAGTAGCTTAACATAAAGGCAGAGAAGAAAGGTAAACAGCTAGCTTGGCTTTACACTAAAATACACATCTCTAGCTTAGTTAGCTCCCAGCTCCATGTCTGTTCTTAACACACAGTACAGACACAAGTGTGGAATACATTTCATTTAACTCTAGAAAAGTAAATGAAGTTTATTGATGATGTAGTATTTCTCAGATGGCCTATGTGCACTGGCTATCTTGCTTGCTTGTTTATTTTCAGATAGCAACCAGCCATTGACACTCATTGTAGCTCAATTATATGTTTTCAGGGACCCCCCCCCCCCCCCCCCTTTTAGCAGCAGACAGACCCTAACGGTTGGGAAAGCCTGTATTAACCCCTTGTCTCCTGTTGCTGACAACCAACCCCCCTCACCCCGCCACCAGTCCATTCTCATGCCTCCGCTTTTGTCATCAACCCATCGTCACCATCCGCATCTAACACCAGCCCTCTAGACGCCGCCTGTCTGTCATTCTCCCCCCCTCTCCCCCGCCAGGGACACCAGGTAAGGAGTCTGTCATCCCCACCCTTTAGGGACACCAATCATGTCACCTACACGCCGTCGCAAATCAAAAACGACAGCAGGCACGCACAGGATGGATGGCAGGAGGGAAGTGGTAGACAGGACGGAGAGAGGGGTTATAAGTGATGCTGATATGATAAAGGGGGGAGACATCACCCAAAGTATCCTGTATTTAAGGGAAGAGGTGGAGACATTCTAACATTATTGAGGAAGAATATAGTAGCCAAATCTAGCTAAGTACTGAGCGGCAAAGGCTCTCTTATTTTGAATTAAATAATAGCGTCTTTTTCGGTGCAGATGTGTAGGTATAGCTGTTTCCGAGCTGCTTCTTACTATAATTGATTTCCAGGGAAAGAAGGCTCTGCAGCTCTGCTTAATAATTAACTGACCAATCTTCAGCCCAAGAGAGGGAAGAGAAAGAAAAAGGGGAGCGCGAGAGGAAAGGAGTGAGTCAGGCGGCCTCTTAACGAGCCACTTGAGTGGTTCAAACAGCACCGGAAAGGCAGAACCATGGAGACGGAGAGAGACAAAGAGGAAGAGGGGGAGGGAGGAACACAGCCAGGGAGAGTGAGAGAAGAAACAGCTAGCACGAAAAAGAGGAAAATGGCTCTCTTGACGTCTCAGATGAGCTTATTCCCAGTCTGGCTTCTTTTGTAGCCCTGTAGCATGCTCTATTCGAGGTGCTTTGGGTCTGTAGTGACGTAATGCCTCAGCCAACTGTATTCCAGTGAGAATAATCAGATGAAAAAGTCAAATTGGAAGTTTTTTTTTATAAAGGGTAATTCTTTTAGTGGAAAAAGAGATGTGCGATATTCATATCAAGAAGTCTCTCTTAACAGAGAACGTTTCCATCCTGCCGGCAAAAAACAAATGTGGTGGGAAAAGCACATGACATTTAGAGAGATCACCCAATATTTGTAAACGCTGTTGGTCATATTCACCCCTTCATACAGTATTATAATCCTCTTTTTCTTTCATATCCTCAGGTCTGTTCCACAGGGCCATAGCTCAGAGTGGAACAGCCATCTCCAGCTGGTCTGTCAACTACCAGCCCCTCAAGTACACAAAGATCCTGGCCCGGAAGGTGGGCTGCACGTACACAGAGACGGCCGACCTGGTCGACTGCCTGAGGCGCAAGAACTTCCGGGAGCTGGTGGACCAGGACATCCAGCCAGCCCGCTACCACATCGCCTTTGGCCCCGTGGTGGACGGAGACGTGGTGCCCGACGACCCTGAGATCCTCATGCAGCAGGTGAGGGTCTACCATGCAAAGAGAACATGGAGAACTTGTTGAAAGAGGTGTGACCTTTCCACAGAGTTAGGGTCTGGCTGTGACATTTAGCAGCTGGTGTGACCTCGTATCCTAAAACGCTGAAACACACTGCCTCGGTGGTAGATTCTATACCCATGGCTCACCACTTATTTTTGCTTGTTATCCCATACATACAAATCATTGTGTACTTGCAAATCCTTGGGGAGTTGAGGGTGGAGGACCTTGACGCTCGTGAACTATCAACAGGCTCGTGAACTATCAACAGGAGGGCGGGGGGGCCTCGCTGCGGGGAAGCAGTGTGTGGACCTGTCAGCGCAATTTACATGATGCCGAATTTAACAAACACATTTAAATAATTGGTTTAAACGGCATAATAATAAGGACGATCGTCCGTTCTGTGATTCTCCAGAACACACATGTTATGATATTAGGGTGATGAGATGAGATCGATGAGATGAGATGATGATGATGATGATGATGAGATGAGATGAGACTGAGATGAGATCGCTGTCCCTTTGAGAGAGAGAGAGAGAGGGTTGTGGCTTGTGCATGTGCGTGTGTGGATGGTAGAGCGAGAGTGACGGAGCGTGTGTATGTTTCTGGAAGTGAAACGAGGCAGCAGAAAACAGAGGTCTGTGATGTATTTTGTGAAACAGAAGAACAGCTAAATAAATGCAACGGCCTCCCAAGAAGAGCTCGCCGACAGGAAAGTTCAACACACAGATGGCCAGTCCGCCCCTTTGTAGCATGTTATTTCAATGAGAGATGAGCAGATCGCCACTGGGCTTTCAGCTAAAGACACAGCCACGCAAAAACTGTGGCATTTGTACAGCTCCTTATGGGTACTGCAATTTGTGCTTTCCTCTGTGGTGAAACGTTCAGCCCTGCACCACGGAGGAAAGCGGCAGAAAGTCACCTGGACAGAGCGGGGCTGCGTTGCGTGCATGTCTTCCGCTCTGGTGGCGGTCTCGTTCAGGATCCGAAAATACAATTAAAATATTTTGTACACTTATTCCACTTATTCCTAGTGTGCCACTGGTTACGGTGCCGCGTGCCAATGGTGGCACGCGTGCCAGGGGTTGCCGACCCCTGCCATACAGTATTACACAAGGACACAGGGAAGATAAGGAATAGTCCAAAAGATACAAATAAAACCTTCTGATTTCATATTTAGTTATTTGTCATTCTTATTTTGCTATTCTTAATTGCTTTTACTTGTAAGCTCTATAAGTTCTTAATACTCACAATTAACATCAGTTGTTTACATTTCTCACATAAGGGTAAAAAAATGAGACGGACTGAGGGAAAGTATTATAAAGAAATGCAGTCCTAATACAAAAAGTGATTTGTTCCAATATACTATTATGATTATTATCATATAATGGATACGGTATAATTGGATAAATGTAATATAAATGTATCTAAACTGGATTTATTTTCCTGGTTTCTTACTTTTATTATGATAAATACTTTATTGCTTTCACGATAGACCAAAATGACATCATCTTAACATGCAACAATAACTCAAACCTGAAACATATGTTCTTAAGAAAGAAAGAAAGAAAAAATTGCATTATTTTGGGAAAATTACATTAAAAGCTCATTATGTCAGACTGCTGCTGCCCCTATTTTAAGTGATACTCCTTCACCTTGTCCCTGTTTTTTACTGAGCTTGTAGTTATTGTCCCACAACCAAAGCTATACATCAACACTATTGGCATAGATATCACATACAAGTAGGAAAAAAGCTGATTTGACTTTACAAATGCACAAAACAAAGTCGTGTTTAGCAGCCTTCATAATTGTACTGAATTCAGCCCTCAACATGTTCTTCCCCTCTTGCACCACCAGGGGGAGTTCCTCAACTATGACATCCTGATAGGAGTGAACCAAGGCGAGGGGCTGAAGTTTGTGGACGACAGTGAGGACAACGACGGCATCACAGCTGCTGCTTTCGACTACACCATCTCCAACTTCGTGGACAACCTCTACGGCTACCCTGAAGGTAGGGACTGTCGACATTGTACTCCATCCAGGATGTAATGTACTCTCTCTGAGTGTACCACCTCTAAGATGACACCCCCATGTAATGAAACCTTCCTGGGGTCCACACACACACAACTCAAATGAAAGGATAAATTGCCAAAATAAAAATAACTTAAAGTTCTAAAAGTATCAGTTACAGAATAAATGATTAGCACAAAAGTGGCCTAAACAATTTAATAAATACTGTACTATTCCCTGGTAGATGAGTGTGTTACACACTATGAAAAAAAAGGGGTTCATATTCTGTTATTCATCATTACAATATAGGCTTTCTAAAAAAATAAAAATACAAAAACATCGTCACAACTCCCATTGGAATCAAATGTTTTTAAACACAATATGTGGGCAAAGAATGAGAAAAAGAGATACAATGTGAGCCCGGCAAAGAGCACCAACCAAGACAGGCATGCTAAAGAGATTGCCTATCATCGAGATGATCTTTCACCGTGGTGGGTCTGTGCTTTGGCCTTTGAGACTCCGTGGGCACTAATGCCGTCTCTCATCATCCCCCAGGCAGCTCCCAATCACAGTGCTGTTGTTCTCCACAGATCAGCCTGCAAAGCCCTCACAGCGGGCCACAGTCAAAATACAGACGCATTTTGATAATGCAGTCACGCTTCCTCTCAAGTGCCTGTCACTCATTCTTCTCTACGAGAGGCGTATTTACGCTTTTGCCCTTTGTGTCACTATTTGACTCAGTTGTATCTATCACACATGCATACAAACACTCTTTACCTGTCATTCCAGTTCTTTGTACTTCTATGAAAATATTCTATCCATGTCAACACTTTTCTCTCAACTTATCACAATTTTCTCTTTTCCCCCCTTCCCCTTGTTTTTCCTGTCCCTTTCCCTTCCCGCATCTTATCCTCCAGGCAAAGACATCCTGAGGGAGACTATCAAATTCATGTACACAGACTGGGCAGACAGAGACAATGGCGATATGCGAAGGAAGACCCTCTTAGCGCTGTTCACAGACCACCAGTGGGTGGCGCCGGCAGTGGCCACCGCCAAACTCCACGCCGAGTTTCAGTCTCCGGTTTACTTTTACACATTTTACCACCACTGCCAGACGGAGACGCGCCCCGAATGGGCCGATGCCGCACATGGAGATGAGATACCGTACGTATTTGGCGTGCCCATGATCGGTGCTACGGATCTGTTCCCATGCAACTTCTCGAAGAACGACGTGATGCTGAGTGCCGTGGTCATGACTTACTGGACCAACTTCGCCAAGACTGGGTAGGTCTTTCTGATGATTTTGATTTCATAACGGTATATTAAAATGTCTCTTTTTGCGTTGTAGTGCAAATGCAGGATAGACTAGCTAGGGGTAGGGCCTCTTCAGTTGTAGAGTAGTGTCTTTCTTTCTTTCTGTTTACTAACCAGATGTCGGTAGAGTTTCTAAAAGCTAAGTGTCCTGAGTCTGAAAGGTTTTTTCAGATGTCAACACAATTATTACATACTTTGAACCAGATTGATACAAATATTGACGATATGTCCCCTCTCTCCTCCACTAGGGACCCCAACCTGCCAGTCCCTCAGGACACCAAGTTCATTCACACAAAGCCCAACCGCTTTGAAGAGGTCATCTGGACCAAGTTCAACTCCAAGGACAAGCAGTACCTCCACATTGGCTTAAAGCCTCGTGTTAGGGACAACTACAGGGCCAACAAGGTGGCTTTCTGGCTGGAGTTAGTCCCCCATCTCCACAGTCTACATGAGGAGCTCTTCCCCACAACCACCCGTTCTCCGTCGGGTCCTGGCTCAGGCAGCCAGAGACCCTGGCCAAGAACACCGGGCCCTCGCACCACGCGTCACCCCTACCCTACCTTCCCCTCTGATCCGGAGCCTTATGGTTCGGAGCGTCCACGGCAGGAGCTTTTCCCCGGAGACACCCGGGACTATTCGACTGAGCTGAGTGTGACAGTCGCTGTGGGGGCGTCACTGCTCTTCCTCAACATCCTGGCCTTTGCCGCACTTTACTACAAGCGTGACAAGCGGCACGAGATGCGACGACACCGGCTGTCTCCCCAACGGGGCGGGCCAGCCAATGATCTGGCTCACAGCCAGGAGGAGGAGATCATGTCGCTGCAGATGAAGCACTCGGAGCACGACCCTCACCACGACATGGAGCCTCTCCGGCCCCACGACATCCTACGACCCGCCTGCCCGCCAGACTACACGCTGGCGCTGCGCCGTGCCCCCGACGACGTGCCGCTGATGACGCCTAACACCATCACCATGATCCCCAGTACCATCACTGGCATGCAGCCTCTTCATGCCTTCAACACGTTCCCCTCCACCGGCCACAACAACACCCTGCCCCATCCCCACTCCACCACCAGGGTATAGTAGGGACTAAGGACCAGAGATACTGGCTCGAGAAGGGAGGCCTCTGGATTTGGGCCTTTGTTCTGTTCTCTTATACTCTCTCTCCAAAAACAACTCCACCTCCTCCATCATGCTGTCAAACTTAGCAGCTCCACTGGTGGCGTGTGGAGAAGCAACTGAACTGCATGGCAGCAGATGATCAGTTAAGGGGTGACTCAGATCTCTCAAAGATACTTTCTTCAAAGGTCTGCTCTTTCTCGACTGAAGCCCCCTGACATTTGTCAGAAGGACGAATGCTTTTTTCGACCCATGCAGTTTCCATCATCTTCTTCTTTTCGCTCCCTGGTGTGTTATGTGCATATATTGTTCTCTTTTCTACATCTGTGTCTCCTTCCCTGCTTTGTTCCTCTCATTCGACATGTGGTTCTCTCCCTCTCCCTAGCGCTCCTTTGCTCTAAGGACTCACAAGCAGCTGAGCTGTAGGAGTGGGCATAGAGTACATACAGTAATCACATAGCTATGAAAACATTGATATCTGATACTTTCATTACTACCAGCATTCTTTGTGCCAAGTATGTACTACTGTGTTTGCATCGAGGGAGAAAAAAACTAAAGAAGATTCTCCAGTATTCCTATTTACTGTCAATGAACAGATGCTGTGTGTTCTCATGACAAAGTGCCAAACTGGCCCTTGATTGTGTTTTATTCTTTCTCACATCTTCTGTTCTCTTTTTTTTTTCAAGCATTTGTTTAATTGTTGTTTTTTGTGGAAAGATCTTTTTGCTGAAAATATAGATATAGAGAAATGATATTATATATAGTTATATATAAATGTGTACAAAGGAGAAAGTATATAAATGGGTTTTCTCAGTGGGGATCTATGCATGAATTATTTTTAAAGAGGATGACGGGGGCGGGGGGGCGGGGAGGACACTGTATCTGTCAATGCACGTTTCCCAAATCTAATCAAATCATATCGGTCCACTCTGGATATCTTGTTTTATCTCACAGATCAAAAGCAACACAGAAGATCCTGTAGTATCCCTTCACGTCCAAACATTTATTATTAAAAAAAAAAGAGTAATCGCCACAAATCTCATGAGCTGTTGAACAACTCTTCCAATCATGTTCTCCTATATGACGTTAGTTAGAGGGTTTTTCTCCCACAAGGTGTGAAACCACGCTAACCATCCTACAGGAGCTACTTTTTCTTCCCATCTGTATGAAGACGATCGTTTTTTTAGGGAACCAAATCTGTCGTTGTAGCTTGCCTGTACAGAATTATTTTTGTATTTCAGTAAGGGTGAGAAACAAAACAGAAACAGGCAGCCTTTGCTCTTTAGCGTACACCGTCCTCCTGTCTGCACCCCTATTTCCAGCACATGCATATTCTGTTTCATTTGTGCCTGTTGTCAGAACTGTTTAACATGGGCGTCAGTGGGCCCTAATTAAACAGCAATGACATAGAGAGGCAGACAGGCAGGATCCCCCCTGTGGTAAAAAAACGTAGAGCTCCGTCCTGCTGCGTACGCCAACATCCCGCTCCATATCTACAGCACTTACTCCCCTCCCACTGATTTCTTGCACCCATATTGCGGTGATCGCCCGCGACCGACTCCCTGCCGTGACCGCAAAACTCAGAAACACCTGACTTCACTGTGTCAGCTGCGTTCCACACAATTTCTGACCTCAGTTCAGCTCTCACATTCAAGGGTTAATTCACTAAGCGTGTGACTTTTTTTGTGTTGTAAATTAAACTTTAAGCACACTGAGGGTAACCGTGGCCTGCATCGCAGAGCTGCAAGATGAAAAAGGGGTTTGGATCTCCTAAACAGGGTAAAAGCAACACAGTGGACAGCTGCTGTCTCTGATTCTGCTCCTTTCTTTGGAGTAAGAGTGTGCAGGCCAACAGCGATTCCCCTCACCTCCTCCAATTCTCTGCTGGATCTCAAAAATGGGTCATCTCTGGTTAGTACAGTACGTTAATGAACTGTTGTTTGAGCCCACAGGAACACATGGTAGCCTACGTCTAGTATGGGAGAAGTCACTGGTGCTGTCTTTGCTTGTGCCCTAGCTTTAGCCTGTTTGTTTGTTTTCTATTTTATTACTGCCTACCAGGGTAGCGGGGAGGGCTGGAGAGGAGGAGATATACCTGGCTGCTCCTGTCAGAGATTTTGTAAGCCCGCTGAAAAGGAATTGTGCACAATGTAAAACACAAAACAACTGACTTGGGTGTGCTGCCCGTGGATAAATGCTGTGGAACAGATGATGGACAGCGAGGGGAAAGGTGCACGCTGCGGAAAATAAACTTCGGGAGGAAATAGGAAAAAGACTTAGCAGCCTTATATGTAGAAATCACAGGAGGATGAACTAATCATTAGCAAATAAAGACATTCAAAGGCATGACCATCTTTCTACCCACAATGTTTGACAGGAGGATACCCTGCTCATCGTCCCATGGAGGGACTGATGGGTGTAATCAGACCCATATGAACCCTTTTCTACTCACTGCTGCAGATAATGAGGCAGTGAGTGGTTGTGAGGTTAACCTCACCACAACACAGCTACAATGACACCATCAGAGGTGAAAACAGCAACAAGGTCTTCAGTTTGTCTGTTTTCCCCTGTCTATTTTATAAGCTAACACTGGAGGGCAGCGTTGAGGCGGCTTCACTGCAGTCAACCCACTCTGAGGAATCTGGATGTGTGAAGAAAAGCGCCCAAACTGGACAGCAGGACAGACAGACACTCAACATCTGGAAGAAGATCAAAACTGTACATTTTTATGTGTAAGAATCAAACAGACAAAATATTTGTAAATATTAAGTTTCTTGTTTGTTTTTTCTTTTTTTCTTTTTGAGTGAATGAATGAAATGCTTACTTTGTGACAACAAAAAGACAACAGGTGCAGTTTGCAAAAAAAAAGGGCCACCAGCTTGAGGTTTCACATCGACTGCTTGCCGACATCCCTTTCATGCCATTCAAAAATGACCTTTCCCTTTACTTTGTGTCATGTTGCCCATTATCACGTGGGTATCCTGTAGCATCCTGATTCATTAGCCACTGTAGCAGAAATTCATCTCCACTGCAGCCCACACACGACAGAGGGCCCCAGACTCTGTAGTTAGTTTGAATATTACAATTAAAAAAAATATATAGTTTAAGTCTTGTTTGTCTGAGGTTGTAGTAGAGGGGGTCAATTACTCTGCATTTTGTTATTCTCTTTTTGGTTTAAGCTTTAGCAAACTATTATTTAGGGATATGATCCAACTATTGTCCTGATGAATGTGTGAGGGATTTAACTTCAAAGTATTTATGGAGGCTAAGAGCACTGATAAAAGCAAACTAACCTAGGACCTGGCGTTTGAACAATGGTCAAGACACTAAACACAAAGACAGTTCAATGTTAGCTCACTTCACATGTAGCAGTGTTAACCTGTGGCCCCTAAACACGTGGGCCCACATGAGGGCTTTGATACCAAGATGCCTCACAGAGTAATGAGATCACACAGCTGGGCTGACCTTTTCCCTACACTCACTGTGTTGCATTGTGATCATGGAGGTTGTGTGGACCATTTGATGTAGCAGTGAACAGTTTCATCTTCATAACCGTGAAGAAAGGGAGGACATTTTAAGTAAATCTCAAAAAGGCCAGTGCACTTAGAGAGGTTGAATGTGTGTGTTTAGCGGTGGATCAGACTGGATGTATGTGGACACACCTAGACTCAACAAACTGCAGTCAGCCAAGCAAACCAAAATGACTTCATATGGCCCACGGTAAAGACAGTGACACACACACACACACACAACCTCCATTGCGGAGTTGCACCTGTTGTCTTGTTTTTACATTATTTGTTGAATTCAGAAACCCAAGACTTGAGATGAAGAAAAATGTTAAATAATGGAATTTAAAAAAAGATGATTATTAAAAAAAAGTATAGTAAAACTATATAAATAAATGAGGTGATGATATTTCTGTTTACTTTAGAAGTTATTATACACTGTATGCTGTGATTCTGATCTGGGAAACATTAAAGACATTCATAGCCAGTCTGCAGATTTGGTCTCTTTATTGAAATAGTAAAGTATACATGTTAACAATATATGGAATGAATGCTATTTTTTATTACGTAAATATGTAGAATCAGATAGCCTACTTCACAGAAACAAAAGATTATAATTTCTGAGTAAAAGACATAGGCTATCATATATGATGCTTAACTTGATTAAAACCAACATTTTCCTGTTCACTTGTTGACAATACCACTTTTATATTGAATAGTCTTAAGTTATTAAAAAATGTAAACATGTGATATCAGATACTTATGTAACCCATTTAAAACGTAGTAGCCTAAGCATAAAGTCATTAAAAAGGTATTTCATTAAAAGATACACGTTTAAAATTGGTCAATGATATCATCCTTTAAAAATATAATAAATAAAAGTAGTAGGCCTATGACAAATTACAAGGTAGGCTACTGTTCTTTTAAGGATCGCAGCGTAGCAGGAGAAAAGAGAGGAAAACGAGCAAGAAGCAGATGAGACAAGCAGTGTAAATTATATTAAGTGATTCAAAGTTTATTTTAAAAGATACAAATACCATCCACACGGCCGGGAAACCCAATAAACGGTATAGAACATTAACCAACGGTGTTTTGGTGAGTCAAACCTTTCATATAAAAGTTTTGTAAGAGTGAATAATGTTAGCTTCTTTGTTAGCATTTCATGTTGTTGAGCTGTAACGGGCCGTCTCCACGGCAGCGTTAAAAAATCTTGAAACGCTTCTGCCCATTCACTTTGAATGGGGTGACGTCACTTTTTTTCGCTTTCGCCGAAATGCATTGTGGGCAGGCGAGCGGAGATTCTCAGGATTTTCAAGATCCAAAGTTGAACAATGTTCAACTTTTGAAACTGAGGAGGAAGCGTCAGCCAATCAAATCCCGTGTACGCAAATCTGACAGTTCAAGCTCTAGCCAATCAAACGGCGTGTATGCTGGGAGAGACAGACCGCAGGTCATTTCCTCATATTCCAAACATGGAGGAGAAATTAGCGGTAGCGAATCAATCACCCCGGTGCTTTATGACCAGACCTACCGGGATATAAACCGGAGGAGCCAGGCATGGAGGGAGGTGGCAGAGACAGTGGTATGTTTTCGCCTGTTTTGGGGAGTTTATATCCAGTTTACTTCGGGCTTTTTGGCTTCATATGTCGCGGGCGGGAGATTCATGTGATTGGTTGATCGCAAAAAAATCCCCAAGCCTCAGATACGCCCACCTCCAAGATTTTTTTAACGCTGCCGTGGAGACGGCCCGTAAGGGAAGCTATGATGAACATGGCTTGCAAAGTCATGTATTTGTTATTTTGTTTGACTGAAACTACGTGGCTTTAATGTGTGTTTTACAAGGGGAAATATGTGTTATTGTGTATGAACAGGATAAATGAAACATTTAGAGGAGAGTAAAGCTGCCATTTTGAGCCTTGTTGTAAGCTGTATTGACAAAAGAGCTAAGTTTACAGTAGTTTTGAAAATGTAATTATATCATTTATATTGTTAGTTTATATTATATTTATATTCTTTCATGACCTGTCGTACAGGTCAGGTTTTTTTTAACTGGATAAGAAAGTTGATCGATCGAGTTGTGCTGCGCAAGTGAGAGGAAAACACATACGCGCTCTGATACAAAATGGCGAGCCAGACCCACAGACTGCTTTGATCTTCGCGCCAGTGAGAGGACTTGCTGGTTTCTCAAGAGACAATAGGCGCGTTCACACCGCAGTACTTTTCCCACTGTGCACGAGCACAATTACGTAATTTCATTATTCTTAGTACCTTGGACTTAAAAACAGGTATTGGCATTGATAAAGACCAATACACTCTAGATCAGG